AGGCACTGGTCGGGAGCTGAGAGGAGTGAACCCCCAGCAGAGTGGAGCAGAGCTCTCTTCCTCTCCTGAACTCCCCATAACTCAGTCTGCCGTCTGGGACTGAGTGATGGACAGATGTGGCCTGTGGATGGACTCTCAGGGTGGAACGGGGCCAGGCCAAATGGGAGGAGCCCAGGCAGCCTTCACAGAGCTTCAACCCATCCCTGCCTTGTTCACAGGAGGCCCCCGAGTTCTCAGCTCCACCCCCAGCTCCACGCCCAGCTCCACTCCCAGCTCCACTCCCAGCTCCCCGCCCAGCTCCGCCCTCAGCTCCACCCCTAGCTCCACCCCCATCACAGACACAAAGCCCCTCTCAGCTGGTGAGTAGAGACCTCAGCTTGGAGGGGTTTTGGGGGGGTTCTGTGCTGGGGCTCAGGCTCCATCCTCCCAACTCTAATGGGGAGAATTAATTAGAATGAACAACAAAAAAATGCACATCCTCTATAATAAAAGGCTAATATGCAAATCGACCAAACAGTGGAACAACCGGTTGCTACGATGCGCACTGACCACCAGGGGGCGGACACTCAACACAGGAGCTGCCCCCTGGTGGTCAGTGCTCTCCCACAGGGGAAGTGCCGCTCAGCCAGAAGCTGGGTTCATGGCTGGTGAGCACAATGGTGGTGGCAGGAGCCTCTCCCGCCTCTGTGGCAGTTGGACATCCCCCGAGGGATCCCGGACTGTGAGAGGACACAGGCCTGGCTGAGGGACCGCCCCCCCCCCCAGTGCACGAATTTCATGCACTGGGCCTCTAGTATGTCTATATGTGCAAATATAAATATATAATTTACGAGGTAAAGTTTCAGATCTGTAATTATGTTAGTGTATATAGTTGATTATACATTAGATATTCGTGTGTGGGGGCCATGGTCCCTAGGCCTGGCCTGCGATCAGGGCCATCTTCCCCAGCTGCCTGCATCCGGCCCCGCCCCCGCCGCCACCCACCCCCTGGTTCCCCATTCAGCATCAGGCGATCAGAGCCTGGGAAGGGACCGAGAGGTGGTCAGTGCACCTCATAGGGACTGGTCAAGAGGTCATTCTGGTTGTTCCACCCTTAGGGTCAAATTGCATATTGCCCTTTTATTATATAGGATATATAAATAATATGACTAATATAATAAGCACATTACAAATGAATATACAGTACAGTATGATCAATTATATCATGTGTTACTACAATCAGTATATGCAAATGTGACATAAATATGCACCCTATATTATATAATAACACATATAATTGATGTCTTATATATGTTATATATATTACATAGTATAAGTTCTTTTAAGTTTACATTTTTAAATACTTATGTAGTTCAAATTATTCATTTATAAGTGAAATCACATAATTTTAAAGATATATTTACACCCACTAGACTTAGGTTATAATTACATAATTTTGTTACAAATATATAAATAGGTTACGTTACACATAGCACACACATGACACACATATTGCGTAAACATCTAAGTTTAAAATGTGCTAAATGTCTTAAAGGGAAGGACGGGCAGCCGCGTGCAGAACAGGGGGCGGGGCCTGGGGCCTGGGCTGTCACAGGTCGGGGAGGAAGGATCGGGGAGGGGAAGCTTCCTGCTTTCTTAAGGGAAGTTGAGGACATGAGGAGGCATGTCCTCCTGGTTCCAGAAGAAGAAACAGGGAGACTCGCAGCCTGTGAGTTGGACGAGCCCTTGGACCTCAGTCTGACCGCCTGTGACATAGGCGGCGCTGTGCGCATGCGCAGAGCAGGTAACCCGCAAAGGCGCGATGGACGCACAGCGCATGCGCCAAGCCCGGACCGGCTGGTGCTCCTTCCGGTCGCCCGCTCATTGCAGGGCTCCAGGCAGCAGGAGGACCTCGGGGCTCGGCCTCCTCGCTCCCAGAAGGGCCATCCACGCCCAGCAGAGGCTGGAGTGAGAAAGAAAGAAGAATCAGGGATGGGGGTTCCTGCCCTGGGGGTGGGGCCAGAAGGAGGTTGGCACTTCCTGTTCTTAGTGGGTCTGATGTACCTGCATCCAGTGCGCGCACCGATCGCCCGGTGTGGCCACTGAGCCCTGGGAATGTGGCTGGTGCAGCTGAGGGTCTAAAAAATGTATTTTTATTGAGTTCAGAGAGGAAGAAAGAGGGAGAGAGAGAGAAACATCCATGAGGAGAGAGCATCATGGATCAGCTGCCTCCTGCACGCCCCCTGCTGGGGACCGAGCCTGCAGCCCAGGCATGTGCCCTGATCCGGATTTGAACCTGTGACCTCCGGGTTCATAGGGCGACAACCACTGAACCACGCGGGCCGGGCTGAGAATCTGGCTTTTATTTCAATGAAATGTCAGTGGATACAGTGACGTGTGGTAACCAATTTGGACAGGACAGACATAGGGCATTTCCATCGTCACAGAGAGTCCCACAGGCGGAGCAGTCCTGGGGGGAGCAGGTGAGGGTCCCCGAGCAGGGAGACTGCCCTGGGGGCACCTGGACACTCCAAGCCTCTGTCCAGCTCGGGCCTTGGACGCATGTCCGCCTGGCTCCTCGCTCCCAGGAGACACACAGGTCCGTGCACAGGACGGTAGCAATCGCGGTGAGCGATGGGGACCCAGGACCTGGGCCCGAAGCCTGTCTCGAGGGGAAGGGAAGAGAATGGGTTTGAGCGCTGCTCACACCTCAGCTCTGGTTTAGTGAAATGGGGATGATGGTTCCGTGCCACAGCGCTACTAGGCATGTGGGAGATTAGATGCATAAGCGTGAACACGACAGGCACCCAGACTATGCATGGTATGCAGTTGGCGCTCAATACGTGCATCCTGCGGACACTTTGGTTCCATCTCCCCTGCTCTCCCAGGCCTGATGAACAAATACATTTATATCCTTGTTGGGACCTCCGTGGCCGTTCTCCTCTGCCTCCTCCTGCTGGTCCTGCTCTTAGTCCGTCGCCGGCGTCAGAGAAAACACGGTAGGTCTCAGGGCGAGGGTGGGGCGACCTGGAAGGCTGTTTGGGGTGCTGGGGAGATGGCCTCCCTCCTAATCCACACCCCGATTGTCCTCAGAGTCCCTCCACAGCAAAGGCGAGGAGCAGAGGCCCCAGGAGAGGTGAGGACCCCCAGAATGACCCACGGATCCCCCTCCCAGTTCTCTGCTCCCAGGTCCTGCCCCCCCAACCCCATGCTCACTTGTTCTTTCTCCTCAGGCTCAACCCAGCAGCTGACATCACAGAGGGCACCCCAGGTAAGGGACAAGGAGAGGGAACCCCTTGGGGAAAGGGAACCAGGCATTGAGTACCATTGAGGAAGCAATGGGGAGGGGGCAATAGTGTTGGATGTTCTAGCTCAGTGGTTCTCAACCTTCCTCATGCCGCGACCCTTTCATACAGCTCCTCATGTTGTGGTGACCTCCAACCATAAAATTATTCTCGTTGCTACTTCATCACTGTGATTTTGCTACTGTTATGAGTCATAATGTAAATATCTGCTATGCACCATGTATTTTCATTATTACAAAGTGAACATGATGAAAGCATAGTGATTAACCACAAAAACAATATGTAATTATAGATGTGTTTTCCGATGGTCTTAGGTGACCCCTGTGAAAGGGTCGTTTGACCGCCAAACGGGCCGCAACCCACAGGTTGAGAACCGCTGTTCTAGCTGGAGGTTGAAACTTAAACCCGTGTGGTTTCAGGCAGATTTGCCTGCAAAGATTCACCTCAAAGATCTGACCACTGTTCTCTCCCCCCCAGATGAGGCCACAGTCTGTGAACCTCCTGAGAAAAACAGGGAGACGCAGAGCCCAGTAAGTCCTTGGCTTGGTCACCTATTACTGTGTAGCTATGTACCCCAACTTTTATTTTTAAATCCTAACCTGAGGATATATTTTTTTTCATTGATTTTTCAGAGAGAGGGGAGAGGAGGGAGGGAGTGGGAGAAAGAGAGAGAGAGAAACATCGACGTGACAGAGATACATCGACTGGTTATCTCCCACACGCACCTCGACCAGGGCCGGGGATTGAACCTGTGACCCTTCTGTCTGCAGCCAATGCTCTAACCACTGAGAGACACCAGCCGGGGCCAAAGTGCCCCTGCTTTAACAGTGTCACACAGATATCTCAGTGTCCTGGGTCGGAATTTGGAAGCAGATTGAATCTGCTGGGTGGTTCTGGCTCGAGGGCTCTCACCAGGCTGCTGTCATGATGACCGGCTGCATTCATCCGAAGGCTTGACTGGGGCTGCAGGTCCACGTGCAAGATGGCACTCTCCTAGGCGGAGGGCGGGGCCCCAGGGAGGGAAGGCAGGAGCCCAATGTGTCTTGAGGCCTCTCCATGGTGGCAGCATGCCCTCCCTTCTGTCATAGTCTAAAGGGTGTCCCAAAATTCACGCAAGAAGTAATTTTGATAGAAAACACAGGTTTATAATTAAAAATTGTACATGTTTTATTGATTCATAAAGTATACAGTCTAGGGTTATGGATGGAAGCACCGACCAACCCTGATGCTATGGGGACGGGAACTCCACAATGGAGACTCGGGGGGTGGGATCACCGGGGCCACGTGGAAGCCGGCCGCCCTAGTCTGTCCTTCCCACAGCCCCCTCTCCTCTGCCCCGGTCACACTAACCTGCCCTGGCTCTCTCTCTCAGAGCCCTGATGCGGAGGACGCCCAGGAGGTGACATACGCCCAGCTGGACCCGCGGGCCCTCACCCTCAGGGCAGCCCAAGCTGTGTCCCCACAGCCCACGGAGGCCACCCCTGACGGCAGCACATATGCAGAGCTTCCCAGACGCTGACCCGGGACCCCCTGGCCTCTGCACCCACAGACACAAGTCACCTTTTATTTTTTTTTAATTTAAATTCTTTATTGTTTAAAGTATTACATAAGTCTCCTCTCCCTCCCCCGTTGACCTCTCCCCAGCCGCCACCACCCCCAACACAAGTCACTCTTGCAAAGGCCTGAAGCACCATGAGGAGGACTTCCCTCTGCAATCACCCGTTCTCCACAGCCATCTATTCATTGCTCCTGGAGGCGAGAGCCGGAGTCGGGGGTCCCCTACTCAACACCTAGGAGGTTCATTCACCAGGGCCGCCCCCTACAATCCACCAGCTGCTCGCAGCGCCCATATAACACTTGTTTCCAGAGACCCAGCTACAGTTGTCCAACAACTTCCAGAAACCCAGCTACACTTGTCCAGCAGTTTCCAGAAACCCAGCTACACTTGTCCAGCAGTATCTAACAACCCAGCTACAGTTGTCTGGCAGTTTCCAGAGACACAGCCATAGTTGTCCAGCAGTTTTCAGACACCCAGCTACAACTGCCCAGCAGTATCTAACAACCCAGCTACAGTTGTCCGGCAGTTTCCAGAGGCCCAACCACAGTTGCTCAGCAGTTTTCAGAGACCCAGCTACAGTTGGTGGGCTGTTTCCAGAGACCCAGCTACAGACCTACATTCACCCAGCTCATTCCAGACATTCCCTGTGAATCCCCACCTTCCCTCCCTCCTGCCCTCCCAGAGACTGTTGGAACCATCTTCTTAGCCGACTCTAAAGACTTTCCACGTGTTGACCTGGGACTTGGGCCATATTTATGCAGAGAATCTCTGATGCCTCACTGTA